TATTCTATTTGTGTACTGGATATTCATACAAGGCTAAGACATAAAATTTTCAAACTCTATCACCGTGTATACACTAGCCCGCAACAAAACTATAAATGTAGTCACGGTTCAATAACAAATTATATTTAGGGAAAATTTTTGATAGGATCAGATTTTAAAATTATATTAGGAATAGGATAAAAAAAATAATTTAAAAAGGATCAGCCGCGTGAACATGATTCGCGTTTTGCTACAAAACGCAAAGCAGAACTGCGTTTTCTATAGAAAACGCGATCCTAGATCGAATCTGAGGAATTGGAAATTGATCTCATTATTTTTTACATAATCTTATTATAAACTTGATATATCATAAAAAAATTTATCTTGATCGGGACTCTCTAGGCAAAATCAAGTTGGAAACTTCAAAAAATTAATTTGGAGATCATTTGAACTCCAGTTTCAGCAAACTTATAGTCAAACTAAACGTCTCGGAAATACGAACCCAACGACACCAAATTAGACTCAATCCGAGCCCAAATGAGTTTGAATCAAAGACCCGAAACATATTTGAAGGGTTCAAACTATAATCTGGATTAGTTTCCAAATATGACGTGCTTATAGTCGAATCAAGCGGCTCGACAAGATAAATCCAATGAGCCCAATATCTCTGAATACTGATATCATTAGGGTCTTCAAATGCTCAATAAATGATACACGATCAAGGGATTCAACATTGGCCATCTATTCAAAACACTCCCAATGTACCCTTTGATCTTCATCTTATTTACTGGCCATGCCACTCTCAGAAAACTATAAATAGACCCCTCATTTCTCATGAGAGGGGACTCAAGCAAGAAAGGAAAAGAAGGAAGATAAGGAAGAGACTCCTCCTCGACCAATGCCAGATTTTCACCCGGCAACCACCCGACGTCGGAATTAAGCAAAGAAGCAAGAAGAGAAGGACGAAAAGCAAGAGAAGGAAGAGACTCCTTCTCGACCACCACTAGACTTCCACCCGACTGCCAACTGACGTTGGAATTCTGCACGACCGTCAAATGAAGCCAGATTTCTGCCCAACCACCAGACCATCACCGGATTTTTTATCTCCGTTTGTAACTGAATTTCAACCTAGAAGAGGCAGCCACTTATAACTTAAGCAAACACTAGTAGAATCATTTCATCTGAGCGTGACCCCATGATTTTTCCCTTTCCAGAGTTTCCATGTAAAAATTCTGATATTCCTTTTTATTCTATTTGGGTGCTGGATATTCTTACAAGACTAAGACGTAAAATTTTCTAACTCTATTGCCGCATATACTCTAGCCCGCAACAAAACTATAAATATAGTCACGGTTCAATAGCAAATTATATTTATGTCGCCATATTAATGACCAAATGACTTTTAGGTTGCCTTGCAAGAAGGACAGAAGTAGAACGTACGACTTTCTTTAGCTTTGCTTCGTCTATTATATCTGAATATACTACTTTTTTTATAGTTTCTTATTTGTCTTTCCAGCAATCTTGATGAATATTAAAAGGGTGCTGAGTAGAGTTATCTTTTTGTTAAAGATAAAAAAATAAAAATGATTTACTTAGTTTGAATTAATAAATAAATAAAACCCACTGATGCTTAGCTTGGTTGGGTACCACCCAACCGTTGAATCCACTCGAGCGGCAGCGCCTCTTAAGTGGGGCCCAATCAATTGCGGGCTAGGAGGTTTCTGGGGTGGGTGCATCTTCTAGGCTAGCTGAGGGATTAGTTATGCCGTCAAGCGCCTCCTAAGGGGATTGCAGCGGGCCGATATCCCAATTCCAAAAAATAACAATAATAATAAATAAAGAGGCAGTTCTATGGAATTTAATTGTTAAAGATTATCTAGTTTAGATTATATTGCAAAAGATGATTTCATTAGTTGATTAGCTTCCCCAACCTCCTCAACAACCTCAACCATTACAACAAGGATCACCCTTGTCATCAAGTGGTCATCCTCCTCCAAAGTCATATTTTGATAAGCCCCCATCTCTATGGAGCCAAAGGCAAAATCTTGCCAAGCACTGCCTTCCAAACTATTGTATCTACTACATGACTTCCTAATAATAGAGAATCTCATCATATTGATGGTAACTTGGAAACTCTCACTCTTCATTCCTCATACACATTCTTTGATAAAATTGCATATATACATGGGCAACCAAGTCTAAGTCCAAAACTAAGGCATGAGTTGTGTTTTGTAATATCAAGATCATCTATGTCATCCTCATTCTAAAATTCTCAATCATTTAGTATCAAATAAACACATGAATACATGAATTAGTCCAATCCATCATTATTAAATTTAGCTTTCTTTCTCTACATCAAAAATCGTGACCTCTCAACCATTTGAAATTATTTTTTGAATGTGTAGACCTCCCAAACACCCAATTGATGAATTAAAAATATGACATAATATTTGTTGATCACTATCCTGGAAATCTTCACTAAGTTCAAGCCAAATGAAGTTTCATCACAAAACTCACCCATTACTTTGTCAATAGTAGTGTAGAAGCTCTTGATCCCTTTCTCTCGTCTAATGAAATATACCATCCCAAGTCATACCCCAAAAAATAATGGGTACTATGAATATTATCATCATAATACAATACAATAGAAATTGGTCTCTCTATGCTTACTGCTTCCCTCCTCCTAATCAGTCATATGCATTTATGATTGTTGCCTACCTAATAAGGCCTCATTTGGTTCCCCCGACCTTTTTTTCGTTCTTAAATAGAGGTATTGCAATGGAGAAGCAGAAATTTTTTTCTTCCCGGATCGGCAAAAATACGGAGGTGTAGCAAAAGATGTTTTGAAAAAGTCGCGTAAACAAACAATACAATAATAATTTTTTTCACCGATTGAAATCGAAAACGGAGAACTTGTGGCCAACCAAACAAGGCCTAAGTGATATGTCAACTACCACATTTTACTTTTAGTCTCCCTTTGAATCTCTTTTTATCCACCCTCCCAACTACTCCAAGCTTCGAGTATTTCGATGTCTCTACAAACCCCAACTCTACCTTAAGTCTACCCAAAACTAGATCCTTAATCTTCTCCTTTTGTCTTTTTTAGGTACACTATTACACAAAGAGATGATCTCTATGAACTCCACAAAAAATGCATCAAATATGTTGAGTTTGTCAAAAATATCATCCACTTTGTGTATGCCATTGACTCTCACTCATCAAAACCCTAAAACTTTACATTCATGAATTTGTTGTAGGTCCATTAGTTGACCCACTAAACTATTCCTCATCATCATCTTTGCAAGCAAGTGATAAAAATTGTTCCTCCAACTCACCACAAAACCTAACTAGTACCCTACCATCTCCAGCTACAACCTCCACTACCACGTCCACCAATTACCCAATGACCACCCGATCTAAAAATAACATCCACAACTCACCACCACACAGATAATGCATATGGCTCAACTACCCAACTTTCTTGATCATGATCATTCAATTATATATATAAGCTCCACAAAGTTATATATGAACTCAAATAAGGCACTCATACCGAATATGCTAAGCTCCCTCATTTATCTATAGCATTTGGCTTCACAAACTCTTATGTCTGTATGTCATTATTTGCATTAAACTCTAATGCTATAAATATTCTTGTATATGTTGATGACATAATTATCACCAACAATGACCTTGACACCATTCAACACTATATAGATCTTTTTTTTATAATTGTTTCTTAATCAAGGGTTCAACTCATATTTTTCTTTAGTGTCAAGATTAAAATTGTGTTTGTTGTAATAAATTGTCTTAATTCATGCATCACCCTATTATTGATCACTAGACAATGATGAAATATCTTCTAAACTAATTTTCCACCCTTAAGAATGGTATTATGCTTTATCGCTGCTCTTCCCATGCGCTTTGAGTTGGTAGTGGAGACTTGAACTCTCCCTATAAATAGATTGTGCCTAATATCATCTATCTTAATCACAATGTTCTCTCTTGGAGCTCTAAGAAAAACAAACAATTTCCACTTCCTCCATTGAAGTAAGATATCTAGTGATGGAACACTAGTATTGCTAAAATTATCTGGCGAAAATCATTATTCTTTGAATTGGTATTACTCCTACTAGCACATCAAAAACCTATTATGATTATATTAGAGCAAAAAATATTTGCGTTAATCCCAAATTTCACTCTAACATGAAACATACCACCCTAGATTATTTTCCTTTACTCGGGAAAAAGTTTGGCATTATGATATTTGGATTGCATATGTTCCTACAGAAGACCAGACTGTCAATGCACTCAACAAACCTTTGTCGTGTTATCCGTCTCTCTTCTTCGTTCCAAGATTGGACTCTCCAACCAAAGCTCCATCTTAGGGGGGCATGGGCATATTTATAGAACAACTGAATTTACATTATTTGTACAACTTAATTTACTCTTTGACACAAATTTTGTAATTTTGAATTTATTTGAATCCCTTCAATCAACAAATTTAGCATTAATCAAGAGATTTAACCAAATCTGGGAAAATGCCCAATCATGTATAAATACATCCATTCCATAAATGATATACACACAACAGAGAGCAAACATTTCCTCGATAATCACTCTATAGTGTTCATAAAAGAAGTAAAGATAAACGAGGATGGGGTCAACCCTATCTCAAATCATCTTTAGAATTGAAATAAACTTGGACCTCACCATTGGCAATAATAGAGAAAGAAAGATTTGTCATGCACATACCCTTGCTAGCCAATCCCTTGAGAAGAAAAGGTTAGTTAACACTATCAAAGCCTTGCAAAGGTAGTTTATCTGTTTGCAGACAAAATTATTAAATTTGAAGTCGAACAACATGAACAACCATTGCAGCCCCATTGTTTGAAGAGTACAGACTTTATGCTTTTTATTGACTCCTATCCTAAATATGCATAATAATTGGAATCATGGCTTTCCTACTGCATTGAACAACAGAAGTAATACAAGCAAAAAAAGGAGAACACACAATAAAATGAGTTCAGACAATAAAGCAAGATAAGAAAGTGATAAATCAACAAGATCTCATTAATACAATTCAAAAGCAATTACCTATAAAGTTAATTCATACTCGAGGGTTTTGATCCTTTCAATACAAAGAAAACAACAAATTACCAAAGACATACAAAAATCAGAATTCCACTCCTACGAACTTTGCAAGCCAGATCTTTACTTCTCGGACGAGTTGGGTCCCCTCTTCTTACCGAATCCAACGACTGGAAAGAAAAATTAAGATCATAAGAAGCAATCCCTATATTGAAAAGCTAGAAATTACGGACTGCGGAGCTCACCGGCGGTGACGAAGCGGCGGTTGTACTGCATCCGCTTGTGGGCCCTCCCCCTCGGCTTCTTCTTCTTGTCTTGTTTCGCCACCTTCGGCGTTTGCCCCCTCACCTTACCAGCGCGAGCCAGAGATCCGTGCACCTTTCCTGCAAATCATTTCGATAGAAAATAAGAAACGATCCATAAAATCGATGCTCAAACCCCAACTCCCGATCGAAAGGAAAAACTTAAACAATAAAATACAAGCTTTTTCCTTACCCATGGCGGACAAACAAGAGAGACCGCCGTTCGAATGATCGCGTTTGCTAACTCAAAGCGAGAATTTATCTCTTTACATGAAACCCTAGTAGCGCTGGCCTCAAACATTTTAGACCGTTCGATGTGAATCGATGGTTTATTACATGACACGTCAGCTTATAGAACAGTACGTCCTTGACAGATAAGGTTAGGTTTTCTTCGAATTGATGAACCCAATGGACAGAATCGGTGCGGCCGCGACGGAGGTGTGGGTGCTCACCATACCGCCTAGCTTCAGAAATCCTCCCTATTGGCCTATAAGAACCCTTCTCTCCATGAAAGCAGCCGAAGTGAAATCCATTGCCGCTAATCTCTCTTGCAGTGCGACTCACGGCGGCTCACTTCCTATCAAAAGCCGAGTTCTTCGCGCTGCCGGATTTCGCCAGGAACCCAAAGCGGTTGGCGGCGGGAGCTTGCAGATGTCCATAGCGAGGGATGGACAGGATGCGGAGAGGTCTATGCCGCCTTTAGTGGTTGTGTCCTTCTATAAGTTTGCGGTTTTTGCGGACTACAAGGATATGCGCATGCCATTGAAAGATCTCTGCGAAAAAGTGGTGAGGAGATAGGAAGTTCTGCTTTTGCACTAATTTTTGGATGTTAAGTGAGATTGCTGTTATCTATGCTTAAACAATTTAATATTTTCATGCGCAAATTATAACAGCTATCTCTGATATGATCAGCAAGACCTCCTGCTATTTAGCATTGCAATTTGTATACTTTAGTTGCTAGTAAGTGAAATTTGGCTAGTGTTTGCTTCGGAATTATAGCTAATTGATCTACATCAAGAAAGGGAAGCCACCTTTTGAATAGGTGTGAATTCTTTGAGGAGAAGAGAGATTAAGAAAGAAAGAAAGCAGAAATCTTATTTCTTGAATTCCATTACAGCATAGGGTCTATTTATAGAGATTTATATGAACTAATTTTGGGTTTAATAGAGGTTCATACTAGTTGATTTAATACAAGTAAAATAAAAGAACTAAAAATGAGTCTGGGATCAATGTCAGACCAGCTGATTTAATGCAAATAAAATAAAAGAACTAAAAATGAGTCTGGGATCATTTTAATGCTAATCACAAGTTATTGTCGGTTGTTATACTGCACCAAATCTTTGAAAGATTTGCTTCCTTGTTCTTCTATGGTAGATTTTAAATATTTTATTATCTTTATGCTGATTTTTTGAATTGTTCATTTATTCTTGACATTATTGTTGTACTATCCTTGAATCCAAAATAATATATTATTGCTTAACACTCCCTTCACCATAAAAAATAAATTTGTCCACAAGGTTGAGAGATGGAAAAGAAGTAGAAAGAGCTTTCATGCCTAACCATTGGTACCAAGTAGCCGTAGGTACTTTAAGATGAAAGGAAGTTATTTTAACTCAATCATAATCATGTGCGTTGTGGAAACCAAAGTTTTCCTATTCTTTAGAGGTCCATGTTCGACGTTGAATCCATTATAAAGCGAAAAAGTTCAAATTTCATTGATTTAAGAAAAGAGAAACTTGTAGAAGACGGTGGCAGCTATAGGGAAGGGATTTGTTCAGCAGAACCAAGGATGCTGACGGAAGACAAAGGATCTTGATGGAGTGGAGTAGTTGGGCGGTCAATGCACAAACTATCAAGTTTCTTGTCAATAAAATGTATAAAAGCATGGAATTGTTGAATTGATGAGCCAATGAAAGCAAATTGAACATTGACTTGTTGTGGAGATTTTTGAATTTAAGAGAATTATAATTCTTGATTGGTTTGCATTGTTCGGAGAGCTGTTTTTTTTCATGTTGAGACGACCTTGGCGGCTGTTGAAAGGGAATATAAGATGTAGTTCTTGATAAGAAGAACAGTGACCTGATAGAATCTTCAAAGAAGAAAGAGTAAATTGCAAGAATTGGATTGGTTTTTGAAGGAGAATCAACATCTTGATGCTGCAGATTTCTGAAGCCGAGGCTGATGCAATTTGTGAAGCTATCCTTGATGCTGATTTCTGAACCTGTTATTGATGTTGTAACCGTTCTTGATGCTGCCTTGACTATTTCTTGCTGTTGAAAATAGAAACTGATGGCTGATTATTGAAGGCAGTAGATTTCTGGAGGTGAACGGAGAACCTAAATGGTGCAGATTTCTTGCTGTTGTTCTTGAATGCGGCAGGTCAGCAGGTAAAATGAAGGCTGGGGCAGTGGAGGTGGCTTGCCCGCAGGATTAGGAGGTGTGTAATGGAGTTTTGGTGGAGGAGAAGAGATCTGGTGGCTGGAAGGAAGGTTGGTTGTAGTGGAGAGTGCTGGCCAATAGGATAGGAGATGGAGAGGTAAGTTCTTAGGGAGAAGAAGAGGGCTAGCAGCTGAAAAGAAGTGTTGGTTGCAGTGGAGACTGCTGGGTGGCAGGAGGGGGAAATGAATTTTGTTGTCTCAACAAGAGCATCATTTGATATGCTTCTTGATCTACATCAAGAAAAGGAAGGCACCTTTTGAGTATGTGTGGACTCTTTGAGGAAGAAGAAGGAGAAGAAGAGAGATTAGAAAAGAAAGAAAGTAGAAATCTTATTTTCTGAATTCAAGTACAATATTTGGGGTCTATTTATATAGAGGTTTACATGAATCGTTTTTTGGGTTTAATAGAGGTTCAAACCAGCTGGTTTAATATGTGTACAAGAAAAGAACAAAGAATGGGTGTGTGACCTGTGTAATGCTGAAATAACTTAAACTACGAGTTTTTGAGCCGGTCAGTTGTTGTAGTGCTTCCAATTTTTGCAAGATTTGTTTTCTTCTTCATCTATGATGGACTTTAATATTTTATTATTTTGATGCTAATTTTTTGAGTTATTCATCCATTCTTAACATTGTTGTTGAACTATTTTTTAATCCAAAATAATATGCTATCGCTTAACATATTGTGATGGTTTGGTTGGTCTTTGATTAATCACTCATTAGTGGGACGATATTTTTTTCTGGTTTTTTTAAGGAAGATAGGGATAGAATTGTACACTCATAGTTATACACTTTTTTACTTTGTTTATTATAGATATGCAAATGCAAGCTTCAGGATAAGACATGCATTTCGAGAGTTCTTTTAAACTCTTTATGCCCGAGAATGGCAAGAATTTTGCTGTACATCTAGGGCAAATAGCGTTGTCCTCCCACACTTTAATACCCAAACCTTCATAATACAATTTCCCTCCCAAAACCTCCTCTCCCCACTCCATTTGAATTTCCCTTTATTAAATTAATGGGGCCCGCTCCTTTTGAGCGGAACAGGCAGAGGAGGCGGAAGTACTATAAACCAGCGGCCCTTTGGCCGGCTGGTTTTGGACCGGTTCCAAGTGAACCGGTCTAATAGGTTGCCACTGATTGTTTTGGCTTGGTAAGTTCCTTTGGATAATCTTGTTTATTAAATAGATAAATCTTATTGGATCAATGCTTCTCATACCTTCTAGCTCTTTGACCTAGACTTTTTGGAATTTTTGGCTTTGATATCAATATGATGAACAATCTATAAGATATTTATGGTGAAGGCAACAACTTAATTGGTGCTTTTTTAAGATGATGGTGAAAGGGTTATTTGGGTGGTGATAAAATGGGTATTTAGGGTTTAGACAAATTTGATAGTTTATATGCTGTTAAAGGACAAGTTTGTCTTTGATTAAAATCTTAAGAAACTTCATGTTTGAAATATTAAAGAACTAATTATGATATTCTTATAGACTTTAGATTAGTAGTTAAAAAAGTTATAATATTTTTAATTTAGTTATTCATAGCAGGAAATTCTCTCTCTATTTCAAGCTTTTAGCTTTGGTATCTTAGGGTTATTGGAGAGTAGAAGCCTTAGAAGATTATGAGGAATGTGAGGGACTATTTGAGAGTTTTGAAGAGGTTGGATGTATTTATGATTTGAGGGAAGCTATGCTCGAATTTATATAGAGGAGATGAAAATTATGTGGGAGAAAAGAAGAATAATGTCGGGAAAAGATAATTAAGGACTCTCCAAAGTTCTAAGAGATCGGCCATTAAGTTTCATGGAAGAGTAGAACAGCTATCAAGCCTTTCTACGCAAAATTTTAACAAGCTAAAATAATTTTTATTTAATGCGTTAAAGGTACAAAGCTATAGCCCCTTTTTATAGGCTTTTTCCAAGCCTGGATCATTTTGAGAAGCCTTACAAGTTGATAAAATACTATTATATGGATTAATGATTTATCTTAACATAAAGCAAAAAAATAAGAAAAATAAAATGAAATTTAAAGCTTTTAAATGCATGAAGATTTGGATTTATTAAAATAGGCAAATAGAGTTGTCCTAGAATTAAGCAATTTATGAAGATTTTTTTTTCTTTTTAATTGGTATAACCCACCTACCAATCAAGCTTCTTAATTATTCTTCTATGATTTTGAAAGAATTATTGTTAGATCATGAGCTTGCATGGAGAGTTATGTATGATGCATGATCGAAATCTTGATGCAAAGTCTTGGTTTGTGACATTGTCATCGACTTTTGTCTTAGTATTACATCATGTTGAGATGTCACTTGTAGGTGACATGCTGGCTGATCCATGCTTCCTTTACGCCACAATTACTGAAAGTTGTACCATCTCACTTATGTACATGTACAGCATTCTAGCAAATCCTTTCTTGCTTCTAACTGAAATTGGTTGGGTTATGTCAAGTTGCTTTTTTGGAATGCCCTAGTGCTAGTAAAATTAGAATTTGGGTGGTGGTGAGATGGGTATTTAGGATTTAAACAGATTTGATATTGAAACTTCTAAGCTATTAAAGTGCAAGTTCTTCGTGAATAAATATTTGGAAACTTCAAATCAAATATTTGAAATACTATGAAACTAATGATGATATTCTTATGAACTTTAGATTGGTGGTTCAAAAGTTATAATATTTGTTATCCGGTTTCTCATAACAAAGAATTATTTTTCTATTTTGAGATTTTGTCTATGGTATCTTAGGGGTATTGGGGACTAGAAGCCTTGAAAGATTATGAGGAATGTCGAAGACTATTTGAGAGAGTTTTGAAGAGGTTGAGCGTAATTATAAGTTGAGTGAAGCTAGGCTCGAAGCTATGTAAAGGATATATAAATTATATTAGGAAAAAAAAAGAAAAATAAGGTTGGGAAAAGATGATTGAGGACTAACCAACGCTCTTACAGATCGGCCATCAAAGTTTCATTGAAGAATAGAGTAACCATCAGGCCTTTCCACACAAATTTTTTGCAAGTTAAAATAATTTTTATTTAATGCGTAAAAAGTATAAAGCTAGCTCTTATTTATAGGCTTTTTTCAAGCTTGGATAATTTTGAAAAGCTATAGGAGCTAATAAAATGCTCTTATATGGATTGATAACTTATCCTAATATAAAAGACTATGATGCATCGACACTTCTCCTCAAAGAGGCGTGCAGTGTCCGACACCGTATCCGACACGACACTCTTCTGACACTCCTCCGACACGTGTCAGACACGCCAAAAATGTAACTGATTAAAAAAATATTAAATACAAATTGGACACGCGTGTCCGACATGCGTATTTTAAATATTTTATGAATTATTAAAATATTTTTTTTTTGTATTTGACGAGATTTAAACTAAATTTCTTATTTCATATCCACAATGCTAAATCAACATCCGCACTTAATACCCAATCATCGAATATTCTCATTTTCATTTCTTTTTGGCAGTGAAGGTATTTTCTTACTAGAATGGATATAATATAACCCAGATTGTAAAGTTATTCCGAGTGAAAATTTATATATCCAACATCGATTATTAGTTTTGGACTTTAAGATAAAAGGGCATAAAATAAAAAATATAGTAAAACATTTTTCTAGGATTAGATGGGGGAATTTAAAGAATATTAACAAAAATATTTTTGAGAGTAAGATTTTAGATCTTAAGATTTTGTCTGTGTTCAAAGATCGAAAAGCCAAAAGCTTTGATGGTTTGGTCACATAAAAAGGCGGCCTTCCGATGACCCGGTTAGGAGAGTAAAGGTATTAGATTTGACTTGTGTTAAGAAAAGTATGGGTAGACCTAAAAAGACTTGGTTAGAAAATATTAGGAATGACCTATCTTTATTAGATTTAAACGAGAATTTGACTTTTAATATGACACAATGGAGAAAAAGGATTCATGTAGCCGACCCCACGTAGTGGGATAAAGGCTTGATATTGTTGTTGTTGTTGTAGTGAAGGTATTTTCATCTCATCTCTCAGTGACTTATAAACGGCAGCGACGCTTGACTCTCGACATCCTAATACTAATCATTTTAAACACAAATTCTAGTTAAATGACTTATAATTTTCAAATTATTTTTTAAATTATACTTATTTAATTTTTATGCACTATTTTTTAAATATTAAAATTATAATACTGTGTCAACCCGTGTCCGTGTCCTATATTTTCAATAACTAACGTGTCCCGTGTCCGTGTCCATGTCTGTGCATCATAGATAAAAGAAAGAAAATAAAAAAAATAAAATAAAATTTAAATCTTCTAAATACATGAAAATTTGGATTTATCAAATTAAGCAATTAGAATTGTCCTGAAATTAAGCAATTTATGAAGGTTTTTTCCTTTTTGATTCATATGACCCATCTATCCATCAAAGCATCATAAATTAATTTTCTTAATTTTTCTCCCATGATTTTAAAAGGATTATGAGTGGATCATGAGCTTGCATGGAGGATTATGTATGATGAACAATCCAAATCTTAATGCAAAGTCTTAGTTTATGTTATTATTATTATCTTTTGTCTCATTGTTATATCATGTTGAGATGTCACTTGTAGGTGACATGCTGGCTAACCCATGCTTTTTTCCACGGTTAGTGTAAGTTGTACCATATCACTTATGTGTAACATTCTAGCAAATCATTGCTTGCTTCTAACAGAAATTGGTTGAGGTAATGGAAAGATGCTTTAACTGTGGCAATGGGAATTTTATAAATCTTATTTAATCAAATCCTAAATGTGTTTAATCCCTCTCTAACCCTCTGTTGTATTTACAGCATTCAAAATAGCTTGTAATGTAATTTTAACTAGCTAAGTAATGTGCGAGGACTATGTCAGTACCTTAATTTCCATGTTTAATTATAACATTGTACATTTTTCCGATCTTTCATCAATTTGCATGCATGGAGATTTACATAGCTGATTCTCTTCAGCGTATTTCAGGAGGTATCATTCTGGCACCAGAGGGAATAAATGGTAGCATATGTGGAACGCAAGAGTCAGTACAGAAGGTTCTTGAATTTATTCAATCTGATGCAAGGCTAAAAGGCGTAAAAATGGTTGAATCACCTGTTACTCCTGAGGAAGAGGCCATTCATCATGGACACACCAGCCATTCTCCTCTTGGAGCAGGTGATGATGCTCCTTTTCGTTGGGATCATGTTCGTGTTAAGTTGAAGAAAGAGGTAAATTTTCTATGTTTGAATGCCTTTTCTACTGTCCCTTTCACTAAACAAGAGTGGAGGCTCTACTATCAGAAAACATTAGAAAATTATTCTTTTAAATGTTTTTGCAAGCAGATAGTGACATTTGGGGATGTAAGCGTGTTGCCTACTGAAAGAGTTGGAAAGTATGTTCAATCAAGGGACTGGAATGCGTTGATTAGTGATCCTAACATTGTGAGTACCTCAATGTTACAGTATGTTATTGTTTTTTGCTGTCTGGATTTCAATAAATAAATTGCAATATTGTGTTCAATTTGGTGGTGAGACCTGCAATGTTTTATGGTGCCGAATGTTGTCCATTAAAAGAGAAGCATAGTACTAAGTTAAGTGTTGCAGAGATGAGGATGCTTAGGTGGATGCGTGGCTTTACCCTTAGAGATAGGATACGAAACGAGCATATACGTGAAAGGTTGGACTAGCTCCAGTGGAAGATAAGATTAGAGAGAATCGCCTTAGATGGTTTGGTCACATTAAACGGAGGCCTTCCGATGAACCGGTTAGGAAAGTTGAGGTATTAGATTTGACTTATGTTAAGAAAGGTAGAGATAGACCTAAAAAGACTTGGTTAGAAAATATTAGAAATGATCTTTCTTTATTAGATTTGAATGAGAATTTGACTTTTAACAGTACACAATGGCGAAAAAGGATTCATGTAGCCGACCCCACGTAGTGGGACAAAGGCTTGTTGTTGTTGTTGTTGTTGTTGTATTGTGTTCAATTTGGGCATCAAGAAAAGTGCAGGAAAGAAACATTAATGTGCTAACCTTAACATTTATGGGCTAGGTGTTAATCGATGTACGCAACATGTATGAGACCCGCATAGGTAAGTTCAAAGGTGCGGTCGATCCACGCACAGCATCATTTCGAGAATTTCCATCCTGGGTGAAGGAGGAGTTTCAGGTCGGGTCAAGAATTCAGCAGGTAGACACAGAGGATGACAGACTTGGAGAACCACCTAAGCTGCCTCGTGTCGCAATGTACTGCACTGGCGGAATCAGATGTGAGAAGGCTTCAAGTTTTTTGCTCAGCAAAGGTTTTGAAGAGGTATGAAGTTCCCTTCATGCTATGTTCCTCCATGTTCATATTTTTATCCTCAGATAAAATTTCTCTCTTTAGATAATATTTTGAAAAAATCATAACTAGTTAAGAGCATCTTTATGAAATTCATGACAACTGGGGGTGGATCCACCTAAAGGCTAGGGGGCAATTGCCCCCTCGAGAAAATAAAAAAATTCTTTATTCTATGATTCTTTTGGTAATTTATTCCTCTCTTATTTTTTATTCTTTATTACAAGTATTTTCAGGAAATTCCCCCCCCCCCCCCCCCCCCCCCCCCCCCCCTCTAAAAGTTTTAAAATACTTTTTTCTTTAGGCAATTGACTCAACATGATTAAACACATTGTGTAGGATGTTATTATTAGGGAACCATGAACCAAATTCAAAGAGAAATAGTAAAGATAATCCAAGAATATTCTTACAACCAAATACAAAGACAAATAGCAAAGAGAAATTGTAAGGTTGAAACCCCCAAGGGAGCGCTGCCCCCTTGGACCCCCGACATATCTGTGAAGCGTACAACGATCAAGGATATGAATAAATAGGGGTCGAGAGGCAGCGCCCTCGGAATAAATTTTGGTTGTAAGGATATTTATGGAAAAGAAATCTCTATACTTTTACTTATAAATTTGCCCCCCCAGAAAATTAAGGTTGGTTCTGCCCCTAATGACAACTGAATGCAATTGTTTGGGAGTTGTTATAAACTATATTAAGTGGAAAGCCATTTAGTCTTCCCTTATCTCCTCTTCTATGTCCAATATTAAAACTTCAAGCAAAATTTATGATGATCCACTTTATTGTTTCTGATATTCTTCCTTGTTGTCATTCTTGTAGGTTTATCATTTGGAGGGAGGGATTCTCAAGTATCTTGAAGATGTGCCAGAATCAGAGAGCCTATGGGAGGGTGAGTGCTTTGTGTTTGACAAACGTGTATCTGTTGAGCATGGTTTGGAACAAGGGAGCTTCAAGCTATGTTACGGCTGCAAACAACCAGTGAGCGACGCAGACATGGAATCCCCAGAGTGGGAGTTTGGTGTTTGTTGCCCTTACTGTTTCTCCACCAAATCAGAAAAAGAGAAAGAGAGAGCAAGAGCAAGACAAAAGCAGTCTGAAACCTGGGGAGTTATCGGCGGACCTGATAAGGGACGCCGGAATCCCCATAGATCCCAGCTGAGCTATGGAAAGGTAGAAATGCCTCTTCCCAGCTCAATCCATCATCCTCTTTTGTGACTTTTGTTCACTGAGGTTTTATTTGGGACGGTTTTTTTACTGCTTCTTAAAGCAGCTTTCTATTAATTTTTATAACATAAAGCTTCTTTTAAGTAGTAAAAACCCGTCCCAAACGAAGCCCGAAGCAGTTGGAGCTGTTCATGTTTAGTTTTTCATATTGGGTGTTGATTGATTAATGTCTTATGTTTCTCATTGTGCCTATGTTTTGGTTTGAATTCTCTTGCTTCATTTCTAATTGAGCACTCATTGTGGCTATGTTTTGGATGTTGGTCGACCCACAGGAGATTTAGGTTATGGTGAAGCTTGTGAAGTGAGAAAATGTATTTTGAATATCCCAATGTAAATTATATATGTATGTTTGAATTTGATTGTGAATTTTAATAATCAGGTAAGAATCTAATTCATGAAAGTGTTAATTTTGCAAATAAATAAAATTTGGAGGATATATATGGAATTACCTCCAGAAGTTAACATGAATTGTTTGTCTTGCTAATCATTTCGTCAAGTGATGATTAAGATGGATCCCATCAACTAATAAAAAATTAATTCCACCTAATTTGACAATTAAAGTTAATGATTCTTAACCCTTCATTTTCCTTCGCAGTTAAGATTTAAATATTTATTTATTCCAGACTGATCTATCTAACCATCTGTATTCTTTTAAGGTAACAGCTGAAAGAAAAAAAAAAAATTCAACCACATATGACCATTTTTAGTGCGTAAGAACAACTAAATATTTAATTATTTTTAAACAAATAATCTAATATATATTTAAAAATAATCTGATCTGATTCCAAGTGAGCTTTAATCAGGCATCATGTGAATATATTTGAAAACTTATGAATATTAATTGAGGAATCAACTGATCTTCTTATGATTATAATAAAACTAAGCGTCTCGATGAGCTGAATCTAACGAGCTTAAGATCATTAGATTCTGTCATCATGAAGGTACTTAATGACTTAATAAACAATTGACAATCAATTAGATCTATATAGATTGTACGATGTAGTTTTTTTTTATTATTATTTTGATCAAATTTGATCAAATATTTCTCTTAAAAAGGCTATAAATATGATCATATTCTTTACAGGAAGGGGGATTGTAGAATTGAGAGAGCTAAAGAACTATATAGCAATTTCCAACAATTAATGCCAACAACCACCTCAATAGTCATCGCCACCATCATTGAATGCCTGTCATCCAATTAAGACTATTAACATATAACTCTGACACTTTGTTTTAACAATCCTCTAGTGGACGATTGATTTATGTAATCTCTCTAACATAATAAAATAATTGTGTTCAACTTTATATAAAAAAAAAATCCCAAATTCCTCTTTTGTGAGGAAGGATTCTTATATTTCAGATGTCTGGTGATTTTTCTCATTCTTGAGTTATTCCTATATTTCGCAACTTTTAGATGGGCGTGTTGAATTTTTGTACAAAGTTAAAATAATAAGCATATGTTTTAACATCTAAAAAGCTTATCTAATATGATTATAATTCTATCAGTAAGTGAAATATATGACCTATCTATGTAAGAAAACAGATATTTAAAAATACATAAAATTTATAATAAATTATTATTTTTAGTTCTTTTACGGAGTCATTCTTGACAAAATAGGAGAGAGGTATGAGACTTTTTTTTGTAGCTTATTTTATTATGGTTCTATGTTTGGTATTACAGAAATACTGTGTTTCCACGACAATCTTCATACCAATTAACAAAGTTATGCTGTTGTCATCGGGATCTATCCATAGCTAGATCACTTTTTGTCTGCACTCCTGTTTCAGTGATTAATTTGTTAGAAACAATCAAAGATGAATATAATAGTTATCCACTTAAAATTTTACCTCAATATATCAAGAAAATTTATCTATATATATATATATATGTATGTATGTATGTATTGCAGGCGAGAATATATGCGACGATGGAGTAAGAGAATAAAACATCTTAGTAATGTGCTTATATTCGTACACCAACAGATAGTTGAGAGAGAATAACACTAGATGTTTTTTTATGTGAAAAACCTGGAAAGGGAAAGCCACGGGGCCTAGCCCAGATGAAAAAATTTCACTAAATTTGAATGAATTATACAGCTTGATTTGCCCATTTACTTGGAAATGGTGGAATTACAGTAGATAGGATAATCGTGCATAAATCTGACAATGGTTGACGTACGGACCAAAATTCGGCAATAGTCGACGACGAGTGGAAGTTTGGCAGTGGACAGGAAGAACTCCAACGATGATCAACGAACAAGCTGAAGTCTGGCGGTGATCGACAAACGGCCAGAAGTTCGACAATGGTCTGCGGGAAATAAGCTCCCAAAATTTTCCATTCTCTTCCTTTTTTATGCCTCTTTTTCTCCTCCATAAGAATAATGAGGGATTATTTATAGTTTTTATATATAATTGTGATAAGATATGATCTTTTTCATAAATTTGTGTTTACACCACTATCCCATTTGTGTTTCAACAATTGTTATTCGGAGACTTAAGTCACAACCCCACTTGAGTTACACTCATCCTCACCAAGACTTAGGCTTCGTTTGGGACGGCTTTCTTTCTGCTTCTTAAATCAACTTTATAGTATCAAAAAATTTATTTTTTGTACTAAAAAACTATTTTATGAAGCAGTAAGAAAGTCATCCCAAACAAAGTCTTATTTTACAAATATTATTTGTGATAGAACTATCATCATGCATGAACCTATATCATAATTCCTTGCACCATAGTTCACTTTAATAAGACATACACTGCAAACTTACTAAAGTCGCAACCTTCTACTGCAAAAACTTTTGTGATAATATATTAATTTTATACAAATTCTTAACGGGATAAGGTCGTTAGGAGTGTCAATATTTGACACGATTCGAAAATCCGACATGAATCTGACCCGAAAATTTTGGCTTAGGGTCAATCCAGACCTGAAATGGGTCGGATTCGGGTTCAACAAATCGACCCGTTTCAAAAACCGGGTTGGGCTCGAATTGACCTAGAAACCTAAATTTTACCCGTTTTTGACCCGAGAACTCATTTTTTGATATGGAAACCCAAAACCGATCCGTTTTTTTATCCCAAAATCTGATATTGACCCATTTTTTGACATGAAAACTAACAATTTTTTGTCAGCCCCAGCTCATTCGGGTCATGTCGGGTTGACTCGAACTTGAAGCTTGTAGGGTTTGGGTTCGAAAAACTGACCTGTTTGCAAAAACGGATCAGGTTCAAGTTAACCTGAATAGTGCCGATCAATCTCGAATTTGACCCGAACCATCACCCAAAATTGACACCCCTAAAGATCATATGAGTTTTTATGTTCAATAATGCTTCAAAAAATATATTATATCACCGTTTATTATTTTATTTTAATTAATTATGCACATCAAATAAAACTTAACTTGAACAATCAGATCGATCGACATTATAATGATTCAATTTTCAGCTCACACATCTTTATTATGAGTAGTTATAAGTTGAAATTAGGATTGAGATGAAAAACAATACATTTCACCATTCTCTTTGGTTTGTTGGTTGCGAGTTTGACCCTCAATTAAGAGGTCCTAAATTTGAGTCTCGTGTATATATATATATATATATATATATATATATATATATTGTATGTATTTGATGCTTCCTCTAATTTCTTAAAAAGAAAATGTGGACCGACCAAATCATTAAAAACCGATTAATTCTAGCAATAATCACGACATGATAGCGTCCATGGCAATCGTGAATCGCACGGACAGGCGAGCTTAGTGGATAATAATGCCAATACTTTGGTTGTTCAAAGGCTGTGGTGTTTGATGCAATATACGTGATCTAATCCACCTACACGATGAAGACACTTATTTAACGCGTTTCTGCTGAGATTTGGGATTTAATTCATATTAAGCCTTTCTTCTCTTCTTCCACGAATTTAGACGTCTTTCCCTCTCCTCGGAAAGAACTGAAAACCCTAAGAAGAGAGGAGTCTTCTTCTTCAAGTTTGTCTTCGCTTTGTCTTAAATCGATGTGCTTTTGTTCCATTGAAGTTCTCTTCTGGTTGGGATTTGGCACTTCAATAAGAAGTTGAGGTATGGATGATTTCAGTTTATCGTTTTATAATATTGATTCCTTCTCGCAGCTAAATGTGATTTTCACCTAGAATGATTTCATTCTTTTTCTTCATGTTTTATTACCCTCTGGAGAACTTCTCTTTCTCACGCTGCCCATGTTTATTAAAAAAGAAATTTGGGCTTTTTAATGGAAACAAGGTCAGACTGTCTTCTCTAATATCTATGATATGAGCTACTATTTAATTAAAGAAGATGTAAAAGCTCAATACTGTATTCTTAGCTTTGCCATTCTCATCCGGAATACAATTCCATAATCAAATTTTCTCTGATTAGACTTGATACATCATCAAAAAATTATCTTGATCGGGCACGAATCTCAAGGCAAAATCAAGTTGGAAACTTCAATTTCAGCAAACTTATAGTAGAACTGAACGTCTCGGAAATACGAACCCAAGGGAACCAAATTCGACTCAATCCTAGCCCAAATGAGTCCAAATAAAAGACCAAAAGCACATTTGGAGGGTTCAAACTGTAATTTGGATTACCAAACGGTTTTCAAATAAGATATGCTTATAGTCGAATCAAGCGGCTCGACGATACGATCCAACGAGCCTAAGATCGCCAAATTCTGATATCATTAAGACATTCAAATGCCCAATAAACGGTCCACGATCAAGGGTTTTAACATCGGCCGTCCATTCAAACCACTCCCAATTTACCCCTAATATTCCTCCTATTTATTGACCAGGGGGGGGGGGGGGAAGAAGGCCCAAGCTAGAAGAGAAGAGAGAAGCAAAGGAAGACCTCCGCTCATCGCCGGAATTCTATTAGGCATCAAACTTCTATCCATCGACAGACTTCTACCCAGTGCCGGACTTCCGCCCGTCGTCGGATTCTTACCAGACACCGGAATTCCACCCGTCGCTGGATTCCTACCCAATGTTAAACTTCCGACTGTCGCCGGATTTCTGCCCGACGCAGGACTTTCGCCCGTCACCGGAATTCCATCGGGCTTCTACCCGACACCAGACTTCTTCCCGTTGTCGGACTTCTATCTGACGTTGGACTTATGTCCATCGCTGGACTTCTACACCACGTCGTCCTTCTGACTTTCGTCTCTATATAACTTTCTTTATGACTTATGTCGCCCAGCAATTACAGTCCTTTCGACCTCCTTCGCCCACCGACTATGGCCCTTCCGACCAAGCAAACACGTCAACAGCAATTCTTCCTGTTTCCACCATTTAACACACTTTGTATGATGTATATTTGTTACATCAAGCTAAGTCGGAGTTCTGCCCAAGCAAGAAGAGAAGAGAAAGAAGCAAGGAAGAGACTCATCCTCGACCACTGTCGGACTTCCACACGGCAGCCTACCGACGTCGGAGTTTTGCCCGAATGCGAGGGGGGGGGGGAGAAGGCCCAAGCAAGAAGAGAAGAGAAAGAAGCAAGGAAGAGACTCCTCCTCGACCACTGTCAGACTTCCACCAGGTAGCCTACTGACGTCGGAGTTTTGCCCGAATGTCATCTGACATAGGATTTCTATCCGGCCGTCGACTGAAGTCGGACTTCTACCAGACGTCGGACCTCCGCTCATCGCCGGAATTCTATTAGGCACCAAATTTCTATCCATCGACAAACTTCTACCCAGTGCCGAACTTCAGCCCATCGCCGGATTCTTACCAGACATCGGACTTCTGCCCGTCGCCGGATTCCTACCCAATGTTGGACTTCCGACTGTTGCCGGATTTCTGCCCGACGCAGGACTTTCGCCAGTCACCGGAATTCCATCGGGCTTCTACCCGACGCCAGACTTCTTCCCGTTGTCAGACTTCTATCTGACATTGGACTTATGTCCATCGCTGGACTTTTACACCACGTCGTCCTTCCGACCTTCGTCGCTATATAACTTTCTTTATGACTTATGTCACCCAACGATTACAGTCCTTTCGACCTCCTTCACCCACCGACTATGGCCCTTCCGACCAAGCAAACACGTCAACAGTGATTCTTCCTATTTCCACCATTTAACACACTTTGTATGATGTATATTTGTTACATCAAGCTAAGGCCTTCCCCCAAATGAAGGGCCTCATTTGTAATCAACTGCAAATACTAGTTTATTCATTCAAACTAGGCTAGGCCCTATGATTTTTCCCCCTTTTCAGGAGTTTTCCATGTCAAAATCTTGGTGTCTTTTGTGAATACTATACTCACTCTTTTTATTTGATTGCGTGCTGGATCTTCGTGCAACGCTAAGACGCTAAACTGCATAGAAAGGTTGTGCCAATCACTGACAATAGCTGAGTTGTCCTACGAGTGAAGGAGGCATGACTTGGAGGTTGAGGATGAGATAATGCAAGAAGGTTATGAAGGCCATTGGGAATGAACACTCAATTCTCCTCCTGTAAGTGAAGACACACGCCTAAAGGGAGCAAGCAAGACAATACAAATAAATCATAATGCATTTAAAGATGATCAAATCAATCTTTTTTCTTGGGGGAGAAAGCCAGATGGATTCAAGAACATAAATTCAAATGAAGGAGAACTTCAAGGAGGGGTAAAAGCTCTAGAGTTAGTTCAACATTTGAAAGTTCATAATATTTAAAATGTCCCAAATGAGAAAATTTTGGGGCTATTAAGAATAAATATACTAGATTATGCCTCCAAGCTAGCCCAATTGACTTGTCTAAGTAGGTTGGTCTAGACTGATGGTGTTAAACTATCAATGGTGAATTGAGGCTGCAGGCTATCATTGACAACATCTTCAATCAAAAATCAAAATATATCATCTTGCAAATCTCGACACCACAAATCCAACAAAGGCGATGGATCAAATTTTCAAACGACAAATTGGCCTTTGCAATGCTGAGGAAGTTCATGAATTAAATGAACACGGCTTAAAACGATTGTATGTGACTGCCAATCCTCAATGTGAAGACGTGCCTAAGAAAAGGATTTCTGGGGAACTCAAATTGTTCCAAGTTGATTTAGTTGGTTAAGGGTTTTATCATGCTTAGATTTGAGTCTTTTTGGAGTCATTGAAATTATTGCAACAAGACGTTCACCTAGGTGGTAAATTTAGGCTTCGTTTGAGACGGCTTTCTTACTGCTTCTTAAAGCAGCTTTCTAGTAAAAAATAAAAAATGGTGCTAAAAAGCTACTTTAAAAAGCAGTAAGAAAGCCGTCCCAAACAAAGCCTTATGCTATGTAATGCTTGTTCAATTGCTGAATTTTTAGTCAAAATAGGTGTGTCAAGCTGTTCATTGATTTTGAGATGCATGTTTTTTTATTATCCCAATAAATATGATCATAATATTTCATTTTGTTATTTTTTTATTTTATTATCAAATAATCTTAACATTTAGGCTTCGTTTAGGACAGCTTTCTTAATGCTTCTTAAAGCAACTTTTTAGTACAACAAATAAGATTTGTATTCTAAAAAGCTGCTTTAAGAAACAGAAAGAGAGCCGCGCCAAACAAAGCCTTAGATGTTGCTAGATTTAGGTGGCATTATTCAATAAATTGTTATTAGTCCTTTGGTAAAACTCTTTCGGTTTTTTTTTTTTTTTTTCAATTTATTTTCAGGGATAATGGGACATCACGACCATCATCACCATCATGACAATGACAGCCCATATGATGATCCTTTCTTGGTATGCTGCTGCTGCCCCTGCTTTGCGATTCTCTCCATCTTTAGGGGAATTGGAAGGTGCGTCTTTGTGGCTTGCTTCCCCTTGTTGAGATGTCTTGGCCTTGATGATTGTAGGCATCACCACCACCACCATCATCATTGTCATTTCCATTAATGTTGTGTACCTACAGCCATTGGTCTAAATAGTTATTCTATTTATATATGTTAAAATGTAATAAACAATTTATTTTGTTTGAAAACCAATGGATGTGAGATCAAATGGATTGATTTCAAGAACCTTGATGCTTTGTCCCACCTGTGCTATTCTTTTGTTATATTTGTTATTTGATGGGCATTTGGTTTACCTGCTTTACAACTCGCACTCAATATTCTAATGAGTTTTCATGGACTAAAAGTTTGATTAGCTAAATATTTATTTTATGTTCATAAGAAAATCTTTCGGAGTAAAGAAAAAGAAAGCAAGAGGATCGACAGAGTCAATTTGTTACCATGTTTTGCTTCTTAAATCAATTTTAGTATAAAATTTTAAATTTGTTATCAAAAATCTATTTTAAAAAACAGTAAGAAAATCATCCCAAATAAAACTATTATTTAGGTATTGTTTGGGATGATTTTTAGTACAAAAAATTGCTTTAAGAAACAATAAGAACGTCATCCCAAACAAAGTCTTAGTTGGAGAGCAATATTTCTTGTGTTTTAGAAAGTTACTTCAGAGTTGTTTCCTGAGAAGATAACTAGATGGTTTTTATGTTTTGTTTCTGTATGCATTTTCTTCTAGGCTGGTTTATAATGGTCTATCAAACAGTAAGAAAGCCTTCTACTCTATTAATTACTTTTCTAATTATCTTAAAGGACTGGCAGTAAATTTTCTTATCAACTATTCATTTCTATAAAAATAATAATCATTTTATTTCTTGAAATGCTGTTTAATAGCAACATATTAACTATCAACCGATCTCACAGATACCATGTTTGCCGGTGTTGTTGGAAATAATAATCGCTTGAACAGTTGATGATGTCATTTCCGTAATAGATTTATTTGACTGGACAATAGAGGTAGCTGAAGTTGCAAATGTCATTTGCGATAGCTTTCTTCTTATTTAAAAAAAAAAACTAGTATAAAAATTAAAAATTTTGAACTAAAAAATTACTTTTAGAAATAATAAAAAAGCCATCCCAAACGAACCTTAATCCCAAAGAAAAATCAGCATTTCTAAGCTAGTTTTGGTTGGGCCTGCTGATTATAGCAGTGCAACTATAGATGCATATAGATCCCTTTGAAATCTAAGCTGCGGCATAATAAGAACAAGCATATTATCACTATGATATTATGATTTTAATTTGAAAATATGAGGCTTAAATTTACATTACATCGAACGTTGAGATTGGCAGATATGAGCTGATGAACATTAATTTCACAACCAAACTCCTGTTGATTGTGTGTTTGTTTGATGACAGTTCGATAGCAACTCAAGAAAGAAGAATCCACACGATAAGTTAACGTTGGAAAGTCGTTTTGCCTTTGAAGGCAAATTTGTTCACCTAACTTATCAATTGATGTCAAGAGATGAGAAATCCGGTTGTGAATAAGCACTGACCAAAAGATAAAGACAATTATGTATATAATAGTTTGACTTTGAAGCTAACTAACAAAACTAATATTGAATTTAAAGCCAGTTAGGATGCAGCTCACTTTGGTCTATTTGTTGGAAGCTTTGGCTACCAATTAAGAAATCTTGACTTTGAATCTTTCGTATGTGAAGTGTGTGTAAGTTTGCCTTAAACTTCGTTTGGTTCAGTTTTTACTTCTGAAAACTCTATTTTGTAACCGAATAAGGAGAAGCTGAATGAATTTTGTAACCGAATAAGGAGAAACTGAATGAATTTTCTAACCACCGAAAAAACAAAGTTTACTAAAAAAGAATTATGACAAAGTTTTGATTCCAAACGGTAAAACAATAACTGAATTCGTCGTATGAATACGGAGAACGGAGAAATTAAGCCTAATCAAACAAGATCTTAATTGACCTAAATGTCCCAAAAAAAAAACCATTCAAGTGCATTTTGAAGGATGCTTCACATTCAAGAAACTATAAATCACGACGTTCGCAAAGCTTTGCTTAAGTGGTTCATAGAAGTGAAATAAGAAGGAAATCGAAATGCTTAACTTAGCTTTTAAGTTATGGGATACAAGCAGACATTCAGAGATAATCCGGATACAGCTCAAAGACCAACTTGGTTAGGAAAAAGGGCATAATAATACAGGTGCTCAATAAAAAAAAGTAATAAGAAACTGGACAAGAGGATCACCAGCTAGAGGAGGATCCTCAGTTAAGGAAATTGAAGAAAAAAATGAAAGATGGAAGGTGTATTATCTTGCAGTCATTATCAGGTTGCTTGTAGAGTAGATGGAAGCTGCAGCTGCTCTGACTGCACACTCCCCTTCCCAAGACTCCTTGTTCTTCCACACACTGAAAAGAAACAGAAGAGCTTAGATTGCTAAGATTTTCAAGCATATGGGACAAAATAAAAATGAATATAAATTCTGAATTCAATAGCAATTGAATAACACTTGAGAAGACGATGTAAATTTTCCTCAAAAAAATTTCATCATTTTCTTGTTGATATTAGACAAAATAATGAAGAAATTTCATCCTTTGGTATATAGGTATGGGTAAAATATTTAATATTTAGTTTTATTAAGAGAAGCAAATTATGAATATTATTTAGTTTAAATTAATAAAATTTAAAATACTAAATGACATAACTTTCATGAGAGCTAAAAAAAAAATTAAAAAGGTCACTAATATAAAGTATATTGTACCACATACGAAATTTAGTTGTGCTTATTTTAATTTAATGCTTTATTTGATTCAACTTTTTTACTGCTGTTTTAAATCAACTTTCTAGTACAAAAATTTTTTGCTAAAAAAATTGTATTAGAAAGCTGTTTTAAAAAGCTGTAAAAAAATTGTCCCAAACAAAGCTCTAGAAATGGTTAGATGTTCATTATTCACCATCCCCTCTAGCCTACAGAAATTAATTTCATTTTTTAGGATAGCTTTGTTGCAGCTTTAAGTAAACTTAGGCTTCGTTTGAGACGCCTTTTTTATTGCTTCTTAAAACAGCTTTCTAGTTTAAAATTTTTAATTTTTATACTAGAAAGCTTCTTTAAGAAGCGGAAACAAAGTCGTTCCAAACAAAGCCTTAACTAGCATATCCTTTCAAAAAAAAAAATAAAAAGTAATTTTACTGCAATTTTAAGTAAAATATAAGTTTCATATCCTTTCAAATAATTTTATGGTGTCTTACCGAAGTTCTTATATTTAAAATATATTTTAAGGGTCAGAATAATAAAAAAAATTGCAAAGGCAGAATTTGCTAAATGTCTGGTTTTGACTAGAAGTAGGATGAAATTTTAACAATAATAGCATAAGAAATTCAATGGTTAAAGATAAAATTTCATAAATTAATAAATAGTTTATCAATTTTCATATGAATTATAAGGAGAAAACTAATTTTAAAAAATATTTATTTAAGTTCAGTTTAGACTGTAAAGAAAGGGCTTTATTTCTAGTATTTCCATTTGTGTCCATATACAAGAAAAGTTTTATTTTGGCATATAAAATAAATATAATTCAGTTTTATTAATAAAAAAGCATCAATATTATTTACTATAAATTAAATAAAATAAAAACTACTTAATGAGAAAATTTCTCAAAAAATGTTAAATAAATAAGATATAAATTAATTTTGTAAATAAAAAGAACTAATAATTTCAAGAGGGTTAAAACTAAATAATGACTTTAAACTAACCTCACATCCTCTATTGAATCCAAATTCGAAAGCCCATTGGCACTAACATACTTTAGACCTTTGTCACATTGGGATTGAAGTTCTTCAACCTGCCTAAGCCACTTCTCCTGCAACATTAAGTGTGATCAATATATTATTATCACCATATGAACACAATACCACAAAATCCAATTAAGTTTAATGTGTCCACCGCAAAAGCTCTCTTAGATTTCGGCTTCGTTTGGGACGACTTTTTTATTGCTTTTTAAAACAGAGTTGTAGTACAATTTTTTTTTATTTTTGTACTAAAACTCCGTTTTCAGAAGCAATAAAAAAGCCGTCCCAAACGAAGCCTCTTTTGAGACAGCTTTCTTAAAGTTTCTTAAAGAAGCTTTTTAGTACAAAATTTAAAATTTTTGTATAAAAAAACTGGTTTAAAAAACACTAAAAAAGTCTCAAACAAAGCCTTAGATAAGACATAAGTCATTGTTAACAGCCACAGAAGAAGTCTATAGCAAGAAAAAATTGTGCAAGGAGCTCCTGACAATATTGCATTAATATGGGATTCATTATATGCCAGCTGTCTTCAATCTTAAATGCAAATTGAGTATTAAAATTTTCTTGCAATTTTATTCATATATCCTGCTAATTCATAGCCAACCTCTCCATGTTATCAATTAACCCATAATAAGAAGTAAGAATGGTTAAATGAAGTATTAGGAATTCTTTGGAGAGGATCCTTGATTACTCATTTAATTAAGGCTATCTCAATTGAGTTTTCTTAGTGAAGATAGCAAGTTTTCTCTCTCATTAGGTTCCCCTCCAGTGGATAGCAAGCTAAGCTATGGTTTTCCTTTCCAACTGGCTTTAATGTCCATCAGATTCACGGTTTTTAGACAGGGCAACAGTAACAAACAGATTGTTTGTGACGTGTTTAACTTTTACTAAGTACAACGTATTTAACATTTTTAAGGCAGCTGGCCCACACTATGAGAAGATTTCACATGTCATGATTAAACAATATTACATTAGTAGTTATGAGATCAAGAAGAAAAAAGTTGAAAAGATTGTTAAATTCGGTTGAAGTGGTTGGCAAGTGTTGCAGAGATGAGGATGCACAGGTGGATGAGTGGCTTTACTCTTAGAGACATGATACGAAACGGGCATATACGTAAAAAGGTTGAAGGAACTCCAGTGGAAGATAAGATTAGAGAGACACGCCTTAGATTTATGGCCTTCCAAAGACCTGGTTAGGAGAGAATGTATTAAATTTGGCTTATGTTTAAAAGGTATAGGCACTCAAAAAGACTTGGTTAGAAAATATTAGAAATGACTTTTCTTTATTAGATTTAAAAGTAGGGATTCTCTCTATCCCCATCAAGAATTTTGCGTGTATGAGAGGTTCGAATGTAACATATTTCTTAATTAGCACTTGTATTCTGACTGTGATGATAGTTCCATTGAAATCTTGATTATTCTTCAAGAAATCAAATTTTTTATCACTCCTCCATTTGATGATGTCATTTGAATGCATGTCATATATCATATGGGTCCTTTGTTGACTTTGAAGAGAACTCATATCTCATGTGGTAGATTCACATACTAATGTTTGTATGATGATCATTTGATATTTCATTGAAACTATGCTATTGATTGTAGATACATCATTGCATCTCCCATTTCATTAAACTCTAGTTCATTGTTGACATCTTTGAGTTTATCTTTTATAATCACTCAAGTCAAACTCTTTATGAATCAATTGAGTTGTGTCATTTTCGAGTTTAATGCAAGTTTGAGTCCATATCAGGTCCTTTGCATTTGTTCACTTGGGTTCAAGTTATGACATGTTCATTTGCATTTGCTTGAATATGAGTCCAAGTGATCCAAGTTCCAGTTGTTCAAATCTTGTTCAAGTCCCTTGTGATTTGACTCAAGTCTTTTGTAATTCACATGAATTCTTTGCTTGCATTAAAAGTTGATGTTCGTTTGAAAGTTCACTTAAAATTTTTACATTTTAATTTCATAGTGTATTTATTGCATTGAAGTCTGGTTCCCTGTAGTCAAATTGCAAGTTCTGTTCAAGTTCAAGCTCAAATCAAGTCCTCTATTGTTCGTCTGATTTGAGTTCAAGACTCTATTTAGTTCATTTGAGCACAAATCCATAAGTCATCTGCTAAATTTGTTGTCATTGTTAAGTTAAAATTTGTTCAAGTTTATTTAAGTTCAAAACAGGTCTCATATTCACCCGAAATTTCGGTAGCCTCCCGATGTCTCCCCTATTTAGGGAAAAACTACGGGGAACTAGGCATTCCCACCACGCTAAAAAAAAACATGTATGGTAAGTGTTCTCGAATGAGGACACCGAGACAGTATATTTTTGTCCCCCACCACGCTAAGAAAGTTGTATATAGATCTTCGGTACATGTTGCAAAAAAAGCAGTTGTTTCCCTGCAAGCGGGTACTTATGGGTATCCCCACTTCGTCGTACGCATCGCACCGGGTTCCCATCCCACTACGCTAAGAAAAGCGTGTATAAGCGGTTTTCTGGTGAGCCACGAATCACCACGCTTCGTCGCAAGCGTCGCGACGCACTTCCTCCCACCACACTAAAAAAAACGTGTATATGTGGTCGTTTTATCGCGCTGCAAGCGTCGAAGGTGGGTTCTCAAAGTTTTAGGGTTTAGGAGTTTATGCCTTAGCAACGTCAGCGTGTGGTTCGAGGCAAGAGAAGAGAACGAGTGGGGCATTTCTTAATTACAATTAATTATAACTAACCATAATTAATTATAGTACAACAACAACAACAACAACACCAAGCCTTTATCCCACTACGTGGGATCGGCTACATGAATCCTTTTTCTCCATTGTGTCCTATTAAAAGCCAAATTCTCGTTTAAATCTAATAAAGAAAGGTCATTCCTAATATTTTCTAACCAAGTCTTTTTAGGTCTACCCCTACCTTTCTTAACACAAGTCAAATCTAATACCTCTACTCTCTTAACTGGGTCGTCGGAAGGCCGCCTTTTTATGTGACCAAACCATAATTAATTATAGTAATAATAAATAATTATAATTATTTATTTATAATTATAATTAATTTAAAAATAATTACTAATTAGTAATTATTTATGATTATAATTAATTTCAATTCATTATAGTTAATTATTAATTAATTGAAATTAATTATAGTTAATGAGATAATTATAATCACTAATTAATTAATAAATAATAATTAATTATAATCAGTTAATTATTTATAATTATAACTAATTAATAATTAACTATAATTAATTATTAACTATAATTAAATATTAATAATTATAATTAATAACAAAATTAACCTCTTCCCTTCTCTTGTTTGGCGCGCTTAGGAATTTAGCTGAAGAGGCACGCGAATAGGTAGAATATAACTCTATGACATATAGTTGCATATGTCTTAGGTACGAAATACCAGCTTACGTATCATACATCGGTGGACATATTCCCTATTTTCTATACTGATAGTTCTTTCCACATTCTCTTTCATGATATATGCCATAAGGACGAGCCCACAGAGGAGCACGAGTTCAATAAGGAAGGGGGAGACCTTCCAGCACCAGCACCAGTACCTACATACCGGCCCTAGGTCTACAACACGATGGTAGAGAGATTTGACCGCCTAGAAATGCAATTGGATACACACTTCTAGGAGTGTACTCAATATTAGGAGCGGCTCCAGCAGCAACACAAGCTGGTCCAGCAGCAGCACGAGGCAAATTGAGCGTGGTTCATTTACCAATTTTCTACCATTCACTGATACTTTCAACAACCACTTGATCACGAACCTTCCTACTTTTAATTTTGTGTGATGTGTTGTAGATGTTTTTGTCGTTGTAGTTTGTTTTGATTATTGCTTTTCTCGGTCAGTTTATTCTCCTTTCTGGTAATGTTAAAAGGGAAATATGATGTTCGTTAGTTGTATCCAATGTTTAATTTAGTTTAATTTTTTTTTTATTTAGATTGTTCTTGTGTTTATTTATGTCATGTTATTCTTAATATTAAAAAAATAAAAAATTAAAGAAATCAATTAGTAAGGAGAAGATTATGAGAAAATTAAATAAACTTGAGAATTTAACCAAAAATATTTGTCATCATAAAAAATAAGGAGATTGTTGCAATCCAAGATTCCGAACTTATGATTTTGATAATAACAAATATTATTGGATATTTACTTTATTTCTCCTAGTATTATTACTGCATATATCTCTTGTGTGTACTAATATTTCAGATACATCATACACCATGCATCAACAAAGGATCAAAACTCAAGGCTGGATAAAAAAAGTTTGATGTTTGCAAGATTCAGTATTTCTACTTATTTATTTTTATTTTTCTTGCGGCAAATAACTGATAAAAGGTGTATGCTAGCTTAACAACCGTGCACACATACACCGAGAGAGCGAAACTTAGAAGTTTAAATTTTCACTAGCTCATACCGTACGATCTAGATCGTAGAATAAAATCAGTCTATCAGAAAATAAATTAAAATGGGTAATTAAGAGTAAGGCTGTCAAAATCGGGTCACGGGTCGGGTTCCGGTCTAATCCGAAACTGACACGGCATAAGTTGACCTTACTCGAACCCGAACGTTTTTGCAAACGGATCACTTTTTTGAACATGAACCCGACCCGTTGCAGACCCGAGTAAACCCGACTAGAGGTCCATACCTTCTCACATATGTCTCTAAAGGTTGTGCGGTGACATTACATTAAATAGACATGAAAAGTACTCTTTAAGGAAAAAAGAAAAAAAGATAAGAAAAGTTGTTAGGTCGCTTCAATAGTTTGAAGTTGTGCAATTAATTGATATGCCAAATTTTGTGGATGAAAATGCAAACAAAGTGTAGCATTAGGAAGTATGCCACCCAAAGAGATTCTTTCTATATTTTTATTCATAATGCTTATTCTCATCAAATGATCAATTTTCATTATGGCGCTTACCACACCACAAACCATCTCAGGTAGACTAGAGGTCACATACCTATCCATTATGTCTCTAAAGATTGTGCAGTGACATTACATTAAATAGACAAGACAAATACTCTTCCAAAAATAAATAAATAAATAAATAAACATGACAAGTCCCTATGTCGCTTCAATAGTTTTAAGTTGTGCATTTAATTGATATGCCAAAGTAACAACTCAACTTTAAATTATTTCTGAGCAAACGACATAATGTACATGAATTAGCACACTATGATAAAATTGATAAAATAATATATTCTGCCAACCATACAAATAAATAAATAAATGCAATATTATGATGCTAGTAAACCAATATAATTGGCAATTTGTTTACAAAATTAGAAGAATTGAAATTAATTTTGTTTCAACAAAAAAACATGTTTTTTTTTTTTTGTAAAATTGATTTCACAACATGCTAGAACTATTCTTAAAACTTTTAAGTAGGATAATTAACAATTTTAAAATTAAAGTTAATTAGGTTTACATTTCCTGATTATTTAGGATAAAAAACAATGCTAGCAATATAGGTTTCTAGAAGGATTTCTATACACGTTTGACCAAACTGCCTTTTAGAATTAAAATTTTCTTAATGCAGTGGAGAACCTTATCATACGATATGATTGAAACTCTACTAATAATCAGGGTTCCATTTCTGAGGTTCTCTCCAAGAGTTTTGTTATCACCATCTTTCTTTCCACCAAAACTATCTAATCTTGGTATATACATAGAACTCCCAACTGAATTTCAACCTTCAACGTTTTTGGCTATGATTTTAAAACTAGGTTTTAGATTTTAGCGATTTAGGTTATTGTTATGGAATTTTTCCCTTCAAATTATGAAAAGAAGGGCCAGGGAGAGGAGGGTATGGTGGTTTGTGGGTTGTTCTTGTGTGCTAATGTTTAAGGCAAAGCTCATGAGGAAGATAATTTTTGAATATGTATGAAATGGGACAATTCTATGGGGAAAGGGAGACTAAACTAACTTAGACTTACCATCAGGATTTTAGTACTAATATCAATTTTGTGTAGATCTTGAAGATGTATGTCTCCTTGATTTTTTTTTCTTTTACCTTTTCTTTAAATCTGTTTTATTTTGCCTTTTAAAGGTAGAGGACAAGTTGAGAGGGAGGATGAGGGGGATGCTTCATTTTTTTGAATGATAAAGAGAATGACGCCTGAAAAATCACCATTCTATAAAAGAGAGAAAGAGATCAAGAGATACTGTAATTTGGTGATAACTGGCTTTGTTACGAGCATTCCGATCAAAATAGAGCCAAGAGAAATTATATATTTACAAGAAAAAAAAACCAAGGAGAAAGGGAATTGACGATATCAGAACAGCAAATTTCAAATCAAAATGATAAAAATAACATGCTCCAAGTCTATTAAAGAAATAGGTATTAAATTTCAAAATTCAAAAACTAAATCCTGTCATCTTATTCATATTTAAAAATAAGATTATCCAATGCAAGAATAATTCCTATCCAATTTGCATAAGAGATTATTGAATTAAAGAAAATCAAATAAATACAGTTTTATGACCTAGTTTGATCTTTAGGTTCAATCTAGACTTTCGCATAGTCATAAAATATAGCACATATTAAAACTTCTTATAAAAGATAAAGCTTAATAAAAGCCACAAATTTGAGACTTACCAGATGTTTTCCCTCCTCCAAAAGTGATTTCTCCATCTGACCAAACAGATTTTTCCATCGAGCCATATGCATGTCTAAAGTTTCCTTTCTGGGGCACTCAAGCAAAGAGGAATGTAACGGCATAGACTCATTCTCTTGTTTAGGTGCTAGATCTCTAGTTAGCAAGCAAGGTAACTCTATCTGGATTGCATTTTTAACTCTCTTTTTGCTGCGTCGAAGTGCTGCATCCATTGAAAAATGGAGAATCGTCATTAACAAAATAGCAGCATATTTGAAAATGTTTAGTAGTTCTAAGCTAACAGTCTCTTACCAGCCAACCGACCTTTAATATCTTGCTGAATCAACCCTAGCCATTGAGAAGCAACACTAGCCGCTGTAAAGTGTGGGTAAAAATAAGTCTCCACAGAGGTTTAACTTGCATTATATTCTTATGTATTGCATTATATTATTATGTAGTTGATTTCTTAATCTTCAAATTTTATATGGATACATAAAATAACAACCGGCATCACAATTTTGCAGTGATTACAAAGATATAGCTAGGGGCAAAAAATAAAATAAGAAGTACATTACCTTTAAATGATAGAGAGGTGTTTTCTTGGTTTATTGAGAAATCAATGATTTCTGTACTGCTAGCATGCTCTGTTGATATTACACCTGATGATAGTTTCAGTGTGAGAGAAGCATCATCGAATTCTGATGCATTGATGCTATCACTGTTGAATTTGTCATCAGGCAAATCTGACTCACTGCTTTGCACTCTAGACCCAAAACAAGCAGGATTAAATGTTTTATTTAGTGATAGATCAAGTTGATCAGCTACTGAGGAATAACTATGTTCATTTGAACCCACATTGACTCCCCTACTCCCACTCCTAGATTGTTCAAGGGGCCTATGTTGTTGTAGCTCTTGATTCTCAAGCTTCTCACTTTGCAGCATCGCTTCAATAATTGAGTTCACCTGCTTGCTATTCCTTACATGCTTGATGATACCAGGGTTAAGCCCAGAAAGCAAACCACTTGGGGCACCAACATTGATGCACTTATTGGTCACTTCTCCCTTCACGGTGTCAGTCTTTTTCTTGGTATCTTCACTTTTTCTCCTTCTAGGCTGACGGCCCCTTGGCTTCGGGATGGCAGCAATTTCTTTCAAGGAGACAAAGCCATTCTGCTTCATCTCATTCCATATTCTCATTGATTCATTATTTTCCATTGGACCAGTGGAGCTACCACATTCTGAAGCATCTGTAGCTCTCACCTGCCCTAGTTTCTTATAAGGATAAAAGGGATTGTTAAGATCCACCCCAAGTTTCGGTATATCAGTTGCCTGAGAAACACTCTTCATTTCACCTTTTGTAGGCATGGAAACTTTAGAGGAATCTTTCATGTTTTCTGATTCAAGCTCACTAATAGTAACCATGGATGATTGCAAATTGATGGCATGACCCAAACTGAGAACTGCAGCATCAGTTTCAAGAGAACTATTGTGCATTGGCATGTCTAATGGATGGTTAGAAAGCTTCAAATCTGTTGCCTTAGTGATCTGGGAGCTGTCCTCTTCTTCACTAAAATTTTCAAGTTCTCCAGTTCCCTTTTCTATTGGGTTAGGTGAGGAAGACCCGATTCCTGGAGTGCAGAGAAACAATTTAAATATTCATCATCAAATACTGTCAAATGTATGTGAAAGCAATTACAAAAGAAAAAAGATTGAATCCAGTCTTATAATTATCATGGTATTTAAGCGAGGGAAAATGCATAATCAAATAAAATTGATATCCTTTTTACCTATCTGGTTCTCTTAGCTGTAAATACAGTCAGCAATAGACTATTTAAACAATTCTGATCTGCTAAAAAAATAATAAGATAAGGAAGCATGCAATTCAAAAGAAAGATACAGGCATAAACAAATGTGAAACACAGGTGCTCTTGCCTAGCAATAAAAGTGGGGAGGGAATTTCAAGAGGATGAATCTGTAAAGAGGATTGTAAAGTGTCATTTAAGTTAAGCCACGCACAAGAAACTTCTAAAAAATTTCTGCTTAATATTAAACATATTTATAACTGACCGACACTTATCTAGTGCAGGCAAGGTTGATTTGTTATAATATTGTGTTTCTAAGCTTTATTTGAGTGATCAAACTTCCAACCGCCTTTTTTAGTTCGGAGTTCATCTGATTGAAATCTGAAAGTTTAGACTTATAAAACATATATAAGTAGCGTTAGGACAAGCATAAAGGCATTCTAAATTTAGGTATTATTCTAGTTGTCTTATTTTTCTATTTTGTTTTTTTTTTACATCCCTATGTTGTTGGTGCATATGAGAATGTGATGGTACTCCAGTGTTTTGATTTCATATGGGTTTAATTTACAGTTGCAAAATATTTTCAATGTACCCGTCAAATCCCAGCAATCACTTATTTCCAACAACATGTTCTATCAAGTGAGTTAATTCCAGTTTACCTTCAACTCCCTCTCTAGTCTTATCAATAAGAAGAATATCATCAGCAAAAAGCATACGCCAGGGTATAATCTCTTGCAAATGTCTAGTGAGATTGTGAGAACATCCATGACTAAAGCAAAAAAGGTATGGGCTTAAGGCTGATCCTTGATGTAATCCCACTGAAATAGGAAAATACTTGGTCAAATCACCTAATGTTTGAACACAAGTAATAGCTCTTACATACATATAATTAATGACTTGAATATAAGCATTATTAACCCATTTCTTTTCTAGAACTCTCCATAGCACTTCTCCTGGAACTTTATCATATACTTTCTCTAAATTAATAAATATCATATGAAGATCCTCCTTATTCGCTCTATACTTCTCCATCAAACCCCTCAATAAATATATAACTTCCATAGAAAACCTATCCGACATGAATCCAAATTGATTTTGAGAAACATTAGTATCACGCGTAACATATGCTCCATAACTCTCTTCAATACTTTTGAAGCATGACACATTAACGTAATTCCTCTATAATTCGCACAATATTGTCCATCACCTTTATTTTTAAAAATAAGAATCAACATACTCATTCTTCACTCATCTTGCATCATTTTAGTCTTCAAAATACTATTAAAAAGTTTAGTAAGTCAAGAAATTTATTCATCCCCTAAGAATTTCGACACCTCTATTGAAATATCATCGGGTCCAACAGCTTTTCCACACGTCATTTTCTTTAAAGTCTTTCTAACTTTGGTTTTACTAATACTACACCAATAAAAGCAAAAAATTATTTTCATTTAAAGTGCTGAGGTAACAAATGTCAATCATATTCTCCTAATCTTCATTGAAAAGCTTACCAAAATATATCATCTATCTGTATTGAATATCATCTTCTAATAAAAGCACTTTTTGATCTTCATCCTTAATGCACACTTCACTTAAACCAAATCCTTACTGCTCATATCTCTTTGTTTGCTAACTTATACATATATATTTCACCCTCCTTAGTATCTAATCTATTATATAAATCATTAAAAGCTAAAATTCAGCTAAATCGTGATCGAATAAAAAATAGTCTAGCTAAATCGTCACAAAATATATCTTATCATTTAATATATTATTTAGTCATTAATATGAATGCGTCAATAATTCAATATAGACTACAAAAACTAACATTTTTATAGAAAATATATGTATACTAGAATCTTTAATTTACATCATGTGTATTCTTTTTAATATTATTTTCTAAAACTATACATCTATCCATAATACTTAAATACAGGATAAATTAGGTCACCTGCTTAAGGTCCATCTATCCATAATAATAAAGTACAGGATAAATTGGATTGCACTTACTCCTTTTCCTTTCCTTAAAAAATAATAATCACAATGTCTAATAAGCTAAACGCTCAATGAGATAAACAATTCTAATATAAGATTACATAAGAAAATAATAATAATATGCAATATAAGATTCAAAGACCCAAGAAAATAATAATAATATGCATGTTGGTCTTTTGAACTCACATGGCCATTTTTTATTATAGATATAACCTATTTAATGCAACGATAAATTAAAAAAAAAATACGTTTACATTTAAATAAATAAAAGAATTAAATTTAAAAAATGAACATTGTGGGCTATAAAAATTTGGTGGGTGCCCCAACCTCTCCACGTATATTCAGGAAGAATTTAATGGTCCGAGTTTCGAGAAACATTTTCATTAAGCAAATTAGATAGAGTTAAAATACAACTAAGAGATTTTTCCTTCATATGTGAGGACTTTAAGATAGGATTTCTAGTATTCTATAAGCATAAGTCCTTATAATTAATTATCCCTCCTAGTAATGAGATAGCACTTTTGATTAAGACTAATCGTTAAGCGGTTATTAAATACCCATCATATCGTAACAACAAATATGATATTTAAGTTTGATGTTTATGATTAAGAATTTACCACCTTGCATTTAAAATGGATAGTGGGGAGAATGATGATGATGATCATGATAAAGCTCCCATGGTTCTGTCATCTCAGGTCGGCATGGTCTCTAATCTACTTAATCAGATGAGATAGTCAATCAACCTAACCAAAAAATTATTGTCAGCAGGCATGGCCGGGTTGCTTTGTACAAGAATGCTTTTTAGACTTGGAGAGAATGTTAGTTTAAGGGTCAAGTAAATCTTAGCTAATAAAAGACTTGCTGTTTTATCAAGTTTTTTTTATGATTCACTACTCAAAAGTATTAGTCATTAAGGAATATAAGGGCTCGAGTTATGATCGTAATATAGTATAGTTATTGGCCAGACAACCCACTCAGAGGGCCTCAATTATAATTGTTTATCATGTCGAGCTGTTCAGTCAAACCACTGATACAAGGACCTTTCATAGTCATTTACCTTGTGGAGTTATTAGACCAAAGTCACCAAACCACTGATTAAAGGACATTTGGCACATCCTTACTAGCAGGAGTTTGCTTAAGAATGAATCTTAATAATATTTTCTACTGAACATTTGCTCCCTATGAGAAAAAAATTATTCTTGAATTCATCGCCCTCATCAAACGATTGCAAAGGATGGATGAATTTTTTCTTTAATTTATGAGATGATTCATTTTATTTTCAAATATTAAAATTTTAACTATTGAGTTGAATTTTAAAAGTTTGATAGAATTTGATAATTTATCATTTAGTTGATATTTGCTTTCAATACGGCCTTCATCAGGATACTAAATAATTGGTTTTTTTAGTTGTTTAAGCCTCGTCAATTTTGTGCGCCAACAGAGGATTAGATTCAATCAGAGTATATATAAGATTTTAATTGTAGGGTCTCTTATATTTGATAATTACTTTCAAAAAGACCACCATCGATGAAATACATAATTGGATATTTGAACCTTATCAACTTTCTTCGCTTGCTAATAGAGAATCGAGATTAATATCAACTTTGTGAACTATTACACTAGAGTTGAGTTTGAGAATTTGCATTTAGAAGAATTTCATTTAAATAGGCTTCGAAGGCCTAATAAGAAATTAAGAACATAAAATTTAAATATCTCAAAAAGATTTTTATGATTGTGCATTCATTTATTAATTAAAGTCATGTTGACTCTATCCCTTTCAAGAAATATTAGACTAGAAGCTTAGATTGATCTTTAACCCCGCACAGTATTCTCAAACCTTAGATTCAGAGTTCAAAATAATAGTCAAAGCATGAGGAATTTTGATTTCTTTAAAAATTATGTGCATATTTTTCAACGTGTTTACATAATGCATTTGCACGTCATATTATTGCGCGTGCATAACACATTTGCACTTTACTTGATATACTGAAGTATATGCACTTTGCTTGATGTACTTCAATAATGCATTTTGCACAATGGATTAAGGCACTATATTTGATATACTTGTATATTGCACTTGCATAATATTTCATGTACTTGTATAATGTATTTGCATTATGTTTATGTAGCTGCACATGCATTTGCACTATATGTGATGTACTTGCATATGCAATTGCATAATGTTCGATGTGCTTGTATAATGCATTTGCAAAATACATTAATGCACATAATACATGTGCACGTCATATGGCACACACGCATGAAGCATTTGCATCACACACTTGCACGGTGCATATGCATGTTTTCAATTTATTTACATGCTTTTCGATAAGCTTATGTGATGCACTTGCGCACATTTTAATGCACTTGCATAGTTTGTCAAACGCTTTCATTTTTGCACTAAATTACTCATATTTAAAATGATTGTGCTTCTTTTGATGTTGCTAACCACTTTTCAAGGCAATGACGTGCTTCTCCAAGCGACGTGCTTTGTTAGCTTGTTGTATGTTTCTTGAGATAGTGACTCCATTCTCAAGGCAATAGCAATGCCGGACCTATCACATTTTTTTAGGTTGTTGTGTGCTTCTACAAATAATGGCTCGCTTATCAAGGCATCATACTTAGGTTTTAGAAAATTGCATTTTAAGACTTATGAGATTTTAAACCTTTCAAACTTGAGCATTTGCAATTGTATTTTTATATTTTAAAAGCAACATCTTTTGTCTATTGCAAGCATGTTGTGAATCTGACTATGTTGAGACAAATAGGGTGATGATTGTTGTGGTTAGGAGAGATGTTGCTTGTTCATTTAATTTATTTAAGTTTTCATTGAACATAATTTGTAGGTTATGCATATTCAACTGATGTTAGAGATCCCCGCCCTAACTCGTAGGCGGGTTAAAGTGTGCATTACATGTTCTCTGTCACAAAGGCAGGAGGAATTTAAGACAACCACAATGACATACTGATTATTTGTATTGTTCCAATTATCTTAATTTTTTTATACATAAGTATATAACATGCTTATGATGTCGATTCCTATGAAAATGTTAGGGGATTCAGTTTATTACTACTAGTTATTTTTCTCAACAATCAGATTCATTCAATCGCGTGCTTTCATTTGCTCATTTTGTCCAACTGAAAGATTTGAAAAATCCTATGCAATTCTACTACCCTTATCGAGGTTGGGGAACTTTGCCAAGGCAAGTGAAAAGTACCTTTCCAGTTTCCTTTCTAATGTTTTATTACAATTTTTCCATTTATATAGTGCTTTGTCTCCTTGTGGTGACTTTCCTATTGTAGCAAATTTGGATAGTTTGTTTCCTAAACTTGAAAACAAATTGATGCATTGAACTCTGAACTGGATGCTTATCATTTAGGTTGAAATTTTGAGATTCTTGAATTGAGAACTTGCAATTCCAAGCCAAAACTTCAAGATTATGAAAAACTACTAATTTTTGCATTTATGGGTTATAAATAAGACCTTAAGGCATATAATGTAATATGATGTATAGAATAAATGTTTGTTTCTCTCTTAAAGCTATGTTGGATTGTTCGAGTGCAAAGCAAGCCCTGATGACAACCAAAGGGGGATGTTTCCCCTTGTACATGTGTGAGTCTTGCTCTTCAACTTAATGACTTGCATCATTGTTATTCTCATATAATTGTTCTGATTGGCTTTCTGTGTGCGATTTGAATTCAATTAAATTCATAATATGTATATTTCTTCTTGAGAAATTTTAAATTTAGCGACTTTAAAATTGTTGTTTGAAGCAAATTAAACATCTTGTTTTGCATCACAAGAGGCCAATATTTGCTTAAACTAAAAAAAAACGGAAACTAGGAAGTGTGATCTTTCCGTGTATTTCATTTTGCATTTTATCTTATGTTTGCATTGATAAACCATAGACCACAAGATATCACACATCACTATAACATTAGCCAAAGGGTTGATTCTATTAATAAACTTCACAAAAAAAATAAGTCTTTAAAACTTCATATTGCATGAAAGTAATAAATTTCAACCTCATTTCAAGATTTTTAGTGGACAATTAAGACTTTAAGAACGTAAATAAATAGAAATGCAATCATGTATTGACTCAAAATAATATTTAACATCTATTGTACAATTTGCATTAAAAAGCATGAAGCGAAAAAAAGGGGAGATTATCATGGATTTAAGGATCTCAATGGTCGATTATCTTCAAGATCATATTAGTTTTTAGTGAGGCTTAAAATTGTGCAATTAGGTATTGAAGCGTTTTTCATTTGTGAGGCGAGGTGTACGCCTAAAAATTAAAAAAATTGCATAAAATGAAAATAAAGATTAAAGTAATTTTTATATAATATCAAAATAATATGTTAAAGAATGGCATATTAACTTTCTATTAAACAATGAAATAACAAATTGGCATACATATAAAAGTCAGACAAAACTTAAAATGCAAATTACAAATTACATGAAATAGAATTGAAATTCAAATATTATAAGAGCAAAACAACATAAATATAAGAATTGCATAAAAGCATCATAAAGCATCAAGTTTAACTCCAAATTCATTCTTTACCAATTCCCTGCTCATCCACATTTAATTCCTAAAGAAAGTTGAAATTGTTGAAAACAACTTTGAAATCATTTGCATTGTCATCACTGAGGGAATATTTATTTAAGTCATTTCCTAAACCAAATTGAGGCGCTTGCCTCTTAAAAAAAGCTCAAGGTGTAAGCCTCAAGGCATTTTTCACCGAAATTGCATTGAGATGAGCCTCACATTGCGCAATTTTAAACAATGATTTTTAGATTATAAGTCAAGTATATAGGATGCATCTTCAATATAAGATCCATTCTTAAGAGATCAAATGAGTAGATATACAAACAAGAAAGAAATATGCAGGAGGAAAATTTTAAAAAGGAGAAGTCATCTAAAAATCAAATTTTAGAAACCAAATCACTAAATTCGGGCAATTAATTCTTCCAGTCAATCAAACAAGATGAAACTAAGCGAGAGCATTACCTTCCCATTATTGCATTAAATGAAAATTGGTTATCAGGCTATTTCTCTTTAATGCCATAATCGCACTAAACAGCCAACCGGCTCCCTATATTTAAAGGGACCCAACTACTACACCACCACTTCTTCTCTCGAAAGCCATCACTCCCCATTTATAAACTCCATCAAGCTATTCCTCCCATTCTATAAAGTGAATCACATAGAATGCAACAAACACATATTGCAAGTTTGACCTCAAAAGCAATTAACAAGTGCAGAAAAAAAATCGGTTTGGCTGAGGAGGACTGGAGGGCTTGAACCAATAACTTTATCGATAACTCAGGCTGCGATGGTCTAAAGAGCAATGAGTTACTCTATCCAGCCAGCAATGTCGTATCAATGGCCACTTAAACCAAAAATGGCTTGCTAGAAAATTGCCCACATATCAATTGATTCGCAATAAAATGAAATTATGTAATTCAACACCCACGTAGGGGTTGGATTAGGAAGTTCGCTGCTACACAGAAATATCATGATATTCGGTCCATATGCATGCAGCCCAACCATTGCCCTCGGAAACCCTCATCTGAAGGAAGAAAAATCGCCCAATCGACAAGCAATTTGGCTCCTTTGTAAATTAAAATTATGAGGATTGCTTTCCTGGAAATTAGAAGAAGAGAGCTCCTCTCCAAAATTTGGCAATGGATAAGGTGTGAAAAATCAACAATTTTTAAAAACCACAGATCAAACTGATGCCAAAAAAGACGAATCTTTTTGTCTAATATAGCCGATGAACCCAGTAAATCCTTGCCCTTTTCGCAGTATCATAAAAAATCGGAACTCCAGCTAAAAAGAACGAAGCAGAAAACAATCAAAAATACATATTTTAAGCAAGGAAACGGCCTACCTTCCTCCGATCGCATCACCGTCTCCAAATCGCACAGCTTTACTCTCTTAACAGGCTCATTTGTCTCTTCCAGATCCACCTCTCTACTCCTCGTTCTCCTTTCCTACAAAAAAAATAAAGAACCGAACTTCAAATTACGGCACGAAATAAAGCACGATTACGATAAGAACCATGCGAAACTCCCGAAACAGTGCTCGCCTGAAATGGAAATCTAGGGCTACAAATGGAGGAGGGAGGATCGACTGCCTGCGTTGCCTCCTGCCCATCCATAATCCGATTCCGCCAGAACGGGCTTCAGAGCGAATGAGCGGGAAGGAGGAGGAAGAGGAAAAAAGAGATCTTGACAGGAGTGAAATAGCGTTTAAGGCATGAGAAGATTTTAAAAGATTGCGGTTTTCACTTCAATTAGGGTTCCTATATAAGTGGGAAAGGCGGGCCTTTCTCTCGCTATCTCTAACTCTCTCCCCAACTTTCTTTCCGACTCTCACTCGACCCGCCCTTTTCATTCTGCGACGATGGGTTTTCATTTTTCAAATTCAAATAGAGGAAAGAGGGTGGGAGCTCGAGTTGTTCATGGTCCCCTGCTTATAAACAGCTACTTGAAGCGAGAATTTGATGCTGCAGATTTTAAGCATTGAAAGCCGTGCGATTAATGGTGATGATGTCCACGTGCTGCTTCTTGGCGGGCTAAGTAATAACAAGTAAAGAAAAATTAAAAACTTCTCAACCACTGAGAAACAAAACCACTATAAAAACTTCTCAAAATGAAAGCAAATGTACAATATTTTTCTCTAGTTTTTTTTTTCTGCAAACTTGAGAAATGAAGTACATTGATCTTGTTGTATTTCTATCATATTCATATTTAAAGTTTTTTTTTTAATTAAAACTCATAAAGGAGCCTACTTGTTCATAAGTAAGAGATTATAAGTCATTAGAGTATCAGAAGTCCTCTAAAAATATAGCTATTGAAGTAAAACATATGAGCCTTAGATCCTAACTATTACAAAGCAAAAGGAAAAGAGCCAAAAAGCCAAGGAAAATAAGAAATACGAAAGACAAAACCAACAAATAGAACAACAGACAACAGCAGCGCAGCTTCTAGCCACGCACATCAACAGATGCATTAGAAAGAAGTCTCGCGAACCAACACCCAAAACCAGCAAAACAGAGAAGAGCAACCAGCCAAAAATCGCCAATAGCACAAACCATATCAAAAGAACAACCCTCGAAGGAAAGAAACACAAGAAACATATGGTAGGTAGCTCCCCAACGAGACATGCCAAAGACACCAGCTCAACAACCGATCCCCATCAGGCAGAAACCAAAAAACATAACAAAGAAGGAAGAAACCACAATAAAGATGCTATTTCTTTTCTTTTCTTTTCTTTTTTTCCTTCTTCTTTTACCAACCTTATTGAAAAAACCATCATCGACAATGTGAATAACATCTAATCCATACAATTCCATAGAATCATCCTCTGGCTTATGAAAATCCTCTCCACATCCTAACCAATCACTGTGAACCACACCCTTAGCATTCGAATCAACGCCCAATTGAGCTATTAGAACATCCTTAGAAAGAAAAGAAATAGGGAATCTATAAGTGGCTCATCCTTAATCCAATGCAACAAAGAAGAAGCATTAACAGTACCCGTGGAAGAGACATTTAAATCCACATGATTAAAACCACAAAAAGGAGTTTTCTCATTAGGATTAAGAATGTCATTGGACAACACACCAACAATATGAGTCAACACAGGCAGATAATTACCATCAATAGCAATATTATGATCACCAGTAGAGTCACGAATGACCTTTAAAATCTGCCCAACATAACCTTCCATGCTTTGATGGCACCATTCAATCCAACCAAATTGCTATTCTCCACATTAAAAACAACAACATAAGGAGGAAGATTAACATTAGTAATATCAATAGCCTTTTGACCAATGATTAATCCACCAGCATTCAAATCAAAAACATGCAATAATTCCTGAAAAGGGGGTTATAATTCAGTATTTTCAGTTGAAGGAACATCAACAAGAGAAAAACCATCATTGTTGGGGCCTTATCAATGACAGTATTAAAAACATGATTTCTCACATCCAAACCATCCTAAAAAAGAACCAGTGGCATCATCTTTAACATGAATGGGCAAGGAGTTCAAAGTGCCCATCGGATTATCACATGAATGAGGGTAAAGTTTGTGACATTCCACTTCTGAATGCCTAAAGCTTTACATGTATCATAAAATGAAGGAAAAACTTCTATTTCAACATATTAAATGTAACCAATTTTATCCAGACTAACCCTTATATGATCAGGATAATGCTTAAAGATATCCAGCTAGGCCAGCACATGGGCAACAGACATCCTCGATTCAATGGAGGTTGCATTATCAATTTTTAAAGGTGTACAAAACAAGTATCCCAAACCATGAAGTATACACGGAGAGAGCAAATGAGGATGCAGATTAGGAAATGAAACACATATAAAAAAAATAGAGGAATCCACATTGATGTTGAAGAAGAAGGGCGACCATTTGGTAAGTTTTATGTAGCAGTTATGCACAAAATATGATCGATGAGTAAAGACACGATTATAATCTAGATCATTCTCAAGTTTAATTAAAACATGCTTGGGATTCATAAGGGTAACAGAGAAAACCCCCTTAATCTTAAGATTGAAAAAGAAATTTCTAATTGAATCTAGTGATGGCCTATGATATGAGATTGTACCAACTAAAGCAAATTCAAAAGGAGCCACTAGAGCTAGAATTTTCTCTTAAAAAATCCACAAGAAAGGCAACCCATGAAATGTTGAGTTCTTAAGATCAGAAAAGCCATTCGAAGGAGAAGTTCCAGACATAACATCCAAAAACAAGCGAGAATGTTGCTGCACATTTATGAAACTCGAATATAGCAACCATGAAACGCCATTCGGTCCACGAGATGACCAATGTGAAAATAACGATGAGAGATCAAAAAACCAAAAGAGAAGAACAATGGCATGAAGAATGGAAAGAGATCGCCTAAAAATTTTGAATGGAGAAGCTTGAACTCACCGACAGAGTGACGGGGGAGGTGGCTAGGGCGAAGCCCTAGTGGAGCCCTAAACCATCGGGGAGGGCATGAGCTACAATTGTATTCATATTTAAAGTTTGATTTAGATTTTCCAAGTTTATAGGCTGAAGTCAAGCATGATGGAGATATGGATCGAGTGGGAGATATGATTTCACATTAGAGAAAAAAAGTTCGAGAACAGAAAATGCAAGGAATTAGGAGAAGGGGATAAAATTAAATGGGTTATTAATTTTTATGTTTTAAATAATCTTTGGATGTTGTATAAGTAAATAGAATGATTTTGAAAATTACTTATGTAAATAAAAAACATTAAAGTGTTATATATGTAAGTCCTCCTACAATTAATTTTTCAAGAGTTGAAGTTCTTAAGATAAATAATGTATTCGTCGATGAACTAGGTAATTGTAGTCAATAAGGTTATTCATCCACTTAGAATAAAAGTGCCATTGAACTCTTAGTTAATATCATCAAATAATCTTGTCATGGAACTCACCAGTAAAAAAAAAGTCTAAAAATGCTCTTCCTTAAATGATGTCATCCTAAATATTAAGATTCATCAAGAGATCATCTTTAAAGACTTAATTTTTTATATGCATGATCAAGATATTTCATGTAATTTTACTTCTATTAACCAAAATAGCTACTTATGTAGCATCGAACCTTAACTTGAACGAGTGAGTAGAGATTAAAGAACGAGCCTAACACAATAAGTCATGTTTTAACACATTATCATCAACTTGAATCACTTTGGCTTGTACTTATAATATAAATTTAATAAAATCTTAGAGCTTCTCTCTCTAGTTTGATATTTTTCTCCCCTCTCTCTTTATTAGTTAGGTTCGATACATACTAATAAGATGTTGGTGTGATCCATAGATAGATATGAATCCAAAAAAATACTTCCTCAACTTGTTAAAACTTGTTGTTATAATTTTGAATTTCCTTTATGATATATATATTGGATTATTATTATTCAAGTTTGAGGTGAGTGTGAGGAGATTAGATATAGAAAATAAGAGAGAGAGAGAGAGAGAGAGAGAGAGAGAGAGAGAGAGAGAGACCATATTAAATATTATATTTACTTGATTGGAATTATTGAGAACTTTTATTACTACTTATGAAGAGAAAGTATGCATTGAATAATGATTATAGGGATTTAGACATAAGTTTTGAAAAAAAAAAAAATCTCAAAGATTGGGGAAGAGAAATACATAATTATGTTATATATTCGCATGTGTCAAAGCACTACTAATGAACTTCCATTTCAATGTGTGGGATAAGATTGGTGGTACACAATAGACAAGAAGAAAATACTAATAATTAATAGTATTTGAATTATTTAAACATATTCATTTTTATAGCAAGTTCATCAGTTTCAATCAACCATTATGAAAGTCCTATGGGAAAACTCCAAGAATAGAGTGAGAATCTCAAATGAATTTTTCCTATAGAGAACTTTCATCAAATTTTGGTGAAAGGCCCTACTTAGTAGGTGAGTGCTTGTACTCAGTAGGCCAGTACCCACTGCGACTAGTTAAGATAATTGGGAAGATTTACCTTGTTAGTCTTACAACAATTAGAGTATATTATGTGACTTCATTGTTCAAGTATTGGCGTTCCACTTGAATTTGTCAGCTTTGATTACTTATAATCAAATGAGGATAGTTGCAACTCCATGCTTTGAGGAACTCTTAAGCTTGGTGAGCTATGAGCAAGTTAAGTTGGTTCATATTCAACAAGTTGTATAACATGATTTAAGCTTATCAATTTGACTTAATTAACCATAGTCAAATGAATATGGTTATCCAATAATTCATTGATTCGACTTTCTAGAAATCTAGAAGAATAGAAGATTAAATGTAAATAGGCGTGCGCGCATGCTCATACACACAAAACTTACCATGGTTGTTGAATCATTACATTTCAAAGGTTTTGAAAAAATTTGACAGTTTTTTGAAATTTCAATAATGACATATATGAAAATTGATGTGTTTATATTCCAAAACATATAAATATGGATAATAGGCTTGTTCATACAAAGCCTTTAATTATTCTTCAATTACACTAGATATGGAAGGCAAAGGATATGTAGAGATATTAAGAGACATCAACTATGCATTTAATTTCTACAATTCATACTTTATGAACCGATTAATTTGAAGAATTGATCATGATAAGAGATTGTATGCAAGCATTTTATGATATAGTATAATATATATTTTAAAGTGGAAAGTAAAGTTACACTTAAAATATGTTAAGATGCAAATAAAATATTAAAAGTAATTATATTACTATAGGAGGGTGTTACATTGTGTGAGACCTCTAGAATCAGAGTACTGTTCAAACCTGTCTAACCCAACTAAAAGTCAGATAACCTGTTGAATTTTTATATTTGAACTCTCTTATATATGTTTGAGAATGATCTATGTGCATGAAAAATGGCTGCAAGTATTATAGAGTCGGTTCCAAGGGTATGAATGTATA